TATATATATATATATACATAAACGCACTGTGTATAGACTCAAAATATGACACTAGGTGTGTTTGTTCTATTTGCAGCAATAGAATTGTCACCACCCCCATGCTTACTGACGTCGTAGAAGGCATTTTGAGTCTTAATACAAAAAGGATGATTAAAAAGTCTCACGTTGTAGTCCGTAATCCCCATCACCACTCGTAATGATGACATCGACAAATAATGCATCTGTGGGTACGAGGCGTGTTTCTTCCGCTGTCCCCACAAAATTTCTCCCAGCTGGTGAAAGACCTGAAACAAAACCATTTGAAAGGTTCAATTTACGAACAAAATATTTCATGACACAGAGATAGATTTGTTTTTACTTAAAGGATGGCAGTTTGTTTTGCACTGGATACATTGTTAAAAAACTCTCACTGGACCATTTTGATTCTAGTTTATACTGCTCAACCACTCGACTTCGCGTGTTAGGTTAACCTAGTCAAACCAATTTTTCAGTTCCCTGACCAATTTTTTTAAAGGAAAAAAAAATGCAAAAAATCATCATATTTTTTTTTATTTCATTACTAAATTCAAGGAACTAAAACAAAACATAATACACAAGTTTTAAATTGCAACTTTAATTTCCAGATGTGTAAAAAATATTTAATTTACCATCTATCCCAAATGATCTCGGGCAATTGAAAAATATGAGTCTTTGTATGTGTTCACATCTTCATATTTTAAAAAATCCTCCGCATTACTTTTGCCCGCTAACGCCATTTTTTTATTCTTTCTTCTACGTCAATTCATTCACCATCGCATACACGATTTTATAAAACGCGTCTGCAGGCCCACAAATAGCACAAACAAAAATGGGTTAACTTCCTAACACAACTGATTATCATTATGTTTTGTTTTACTTGTTCCGGCCGAATAAAAACGTGATGAAACAAAACGCACTGCTACACCGGAGTTAACTCGGATAGTAAATGTTTGCAATGTATGCATACGCGAGTTAACTCGGGATAGTAAATGTTTGCAATGTATACATACGCGAGTTAACTCGGGATAATGAGGGAAGCAGTTAATTGTTTGAAGTCCTTACATGAAATAAATTCTATGGAATGAGTCGTGACAGTTTAGTCTCCTGAAAAGTGCTTGCCTTTCATTTTTAATTTTCTTTTTAGAATTTAAAAAAGAAACACTCCAACGTTAGATTATCTAAACTCGTAGAAATGTTCAAAAATTAAGAATTTCATCTTGGAGGGAGAATCTCGCCAACTACCAGATTTTGAATTTAAATCTAATCAGATAATTCTTTGCGCCATCTATAGTTTTATAACTCAACTAAACTGTCACTTTTTTTTACCGTTCTTGGCACGGTGGATTTAAAAGTGACAACAATAAATTATTAATGTATACCTTACATGACAATTATTACTTACATAACACTATCGCTAGGCTTAACATTTATTTTTGCATTTTTTGCACTATTAGTTTCAATTAAATCGCAAACTTCATCTGTTTCTATTATATTTTTTAAAGCCTAACCTCAGTACATAACTATTTATAATATACACTCTATAACAAAACAATCGACGCTCCAAGAAGGAGTTGTCCGAACAGTCGGCATCATTCCAGCCTGATCGAGGCATGCACCACTGTAATCTGGCACCAAGAAGCAATCGGATGATTGCTTCTTGGTGAGTCGATTTTTTTTTGTTGTAGAGTGTATTTATCTTTAAGAATATCATCGTGATAAAATGATTTTTTTTTATTTATTTTATACATAATTGAATAATGAAAAACCTTACCGGTTATTCTTCCAAGGTTGGGAATTCTTTTTCCAATATATCCACAGGTGTGACAACCTAGGCTGAAACCGATCAAATGGATGCTTTCAGGTTTAATGCCTGTCACCGCCTTAAAAAGAAGAGAACTCTATACTACCTCTATTAAACTCACTCATTTTTTTAATAAAAAATATTGTATTATATCTAATGTACATAATTTTCCATAGAACGACTGGTACTTTAATAGGTTATTTTAGTTTTATTAAAACTTTTTATACCCCTGCAAAGTGAAATAATCTACTGGAATAAAACTTTGAAATGGTATAAAGTACTTGCCATCAAATATTTCAAAAACTTAGCGATTCTGGCAGCGATGACTCTAATGTTGGCGACAGACCTGAAATAAGGTATCTGAACGTGATCCCTGAAATCTGGCACAATTACATTGTAATGATAATTACTCAGGGCGGCATCTTTCTTATTCTGTAAATAAATAAACATTATATTAGAACATGGAAAAACGTGTTTTAATTTATAAGGTGAAAAACATGTGTGGTAGCAAAGTTATACATTTATTCCTTGTTATCAAGATGATTTAACCTTGGAGAGAGTTTTTTTATAACTCCAGGCAATTGAGCTCAAAAATAGACGTTACCGGGAAAAATCTGTTACCCATTGGCATAATGGTGTTGTTTTGGGTTTGATGGAGTGCGCACCTTATTTTCACGTCATCACACTGTGTTCAAGAGTTATACGGGCTACATCAAAGTAGTCGATATTGGAACTTTGAACTTGATAGTATATTTGAAGATTTGGAATTTGAGAAATTAAAATGGTTAAATTGTGTTATTAAATGTAAGAATACTATTTTAATTGTGTATGTTGATGATATTGTAATTTTTGGTAAAACACAAATTGATGTTAAGAATGCTATTTCACTAGTTAAAAGTAAATTAGAATTAACTGAATTCGGTCAGGTAAAATATTTGCTAGGTGTAAATTTTGATATGAACAATGGTGCTTTATTAATGCATCGGAATACGTATAGTGAGAAATTAAGGATAAAATTCCATCCGATAAAACTCGGATGTCAACTTCCTGAAAAAATAAATAAAAGTGATATTGTTGAAAACGACTTAATGGAACGATTTCCATATCGAACTTTAATCGGCTGTTTAACCTTTTTAGCTGATCGTACGAGACCCGACATTAGTTTTTCAGTAAATTTGATGTCTCAATTTTCAAATGGTTATACGTTCTAACATTGGAAAATCGTGGTAGATATAATGAATTATGTATTTAACACTAAGGATTACAAAATTAATTTAACTAAAGGTAAGAATTTAAATTTAATTTGTTTTTCTGATGCTAATTGGGGCTGTAGTTTAAGTAATCGCCATTCAACTAGTGGATATTTAATAAAATTTGGAGACGTAGTTTTTAGTTGGCGTTCAAGTGAACAAAAATGTATTGCCCTTACCTCAATGGAATCTGAGTTTGTTGCCTTGTGTGAAAGTTTGAAAGAAACAGTCTGGTTTTCTAGAGTAATTAATGAACTTATTATTCTGCCTGACAAAATTGTACCAAAAGTGTATTGTGACAATGCTATACATTTCTCTTAAAATAATTGTGAAATTTTTAAGACAAAACATATAGATATTGGATATAAATTTATTCGACAACTTATTGAAGAAAATCTAGTAGAATTAGTTCTTATTCATTCTAAGAATAACTCCTAACAAAACCATTATTGGGTAATAAATTAAAAGTTGTGAATAACATATTTTTCTTTGATATAGATCACACGACCGTATGTTGGAGTGGTTTGTTACTCCCCTGAATGCATTAAATTAACAGAATTAAGTTTCGGTCGTGTGTTGGCAACAGATATTTTATTTTCAGATAACGTAAGTGACGTCATCCGTGCATATCATTATGGAATCTGTATATAAGGTTTGCATTGTTGTAAGCATGGGTCTTCACTGTGTTTCCAGTGATGATGTACCATATTTTGTTAAGAGTACATATCATCACTCTACCATTATTATTAAAAGTTAATATTTTCAGTTGTATGCTGTATCGAGATGGTGCTGTATATGAAATAAGGAAATGTTTAAATCGTCTTTATATGACACTTCCACTCACTACTGTGCTAACGACTGTTTCATAATTTTTCTTTTTTATCCTTTTAGTTTTGTTATGCATTAAGTTGTTGAGTTTATTTTTGAGATATGGAGCCACTTCTTGAGTTGTGAATAAAAGAGAATTTCATCATTTGAACGATATTTTTTTTTATTGTTAAGAACAAGAAATTCTAACCTACAGTTCGAACTGGATCGTTTTCAATACTAATTCAAATGAAAGAGGGTCCCAAACTGATTGACACAGTCCCAAAGGGTAGAATTGAAGCAAGAAAAAAAAACGATGCCAAGGCTTAAACTTACCGAGGCTGAAAAAGCTAAAGCCAAAGAACGTAGACGAGAAAATCTTAAGCGTTACACACTAACGGAAAAACGAAAGGGTTCTGTTCATAAACGAAAGCGTAAATCCCGGGGGAAAAAATTAGAGAACAACCATTTTGCCAGTGGGTAGCCTATAGATCGCCTTTAGGTGATCACAATTTTTGTTTTATTTATTTAGTTTATATACATATTATAGCTGTGACGTTTTTTTTTCTCTTTCTTTTATTTGTGTCATTTGTACTACTTTGCATAATATCTATAGAGGATTTTATTTTTTATTCTTCCCTAAGAATTCTTTCAATTTTTGAAAAGCTTATTTTAAAACAAGTTAGAAAACATGTGAGACAAATCTCACAAAGTAACCCCTTTTTTTATTTTTTTAATACTTATGTTTCTGGGGGATTAATACTTGACTAATATACTTCAGTATTAATGGATCTCGGTAACATGTGACACCGAATCAATGTATTTTCTTTCAATATTATTACTTTTGCAGTAAGGGGCCGGGATAGCGTGTTAAGCCCATATCCAAGAAGTCGTGTGTTCGAATCTCACCGACCGAAGTATTCTCTTGTAGTAAATGGTAACTGGGTGCGCGTTAAAGCTGCCGAGTCACAAGGTTCTCCATATTCCCATAACAAACCGGTACCTCTGGGGGTAATGTATTGGAGATCGTTCTCTGGTTCAATTCAAAGTACGATCTGTGTATGTATTTATGAACGCCCATTCAAACAGGCTGTGACGTGTGTGTAGCTGAACTTGTGTTCCGCTCATGGAGGGAGACACTGAAAAAAAATGCACCCTCTGCCTTAAGATCGCTTGGTTTGACTTAGAAGACTCTCTGGTATTGGCATTAGAAGCAACAACAGGAGTTGTTTATTGCTTGGGGATATAATAAAACTCTATATCATTAAAGTGTCATAAATACAAAATTAAATTAAAAAAAACTTAACTAAAAAAGATAGAACAATTTTTTTGTTTCAAAACATTTAAAATAATATTTTATTTCAAATAAGTATGTACGGAATTGCCCGAAACTCCCTTTGCAACATAGCTGACAAATATAAGCGAGTTAGAGTAAATAAATAATGTGTTTTCCAAGTTGGATTTTCATTTTATTTTCACCAACAAGCATTTTTCAAGATTCTTTTAAGTACTAAGAAGTTTCCTGCTCACTTCGCTCAACAACCCTGCTATAATAGCCTCTTGTTCATCTTTGTTTCTTTTCGTTTTGTTTTTTTCGCTTAAAAGTCGATATTTTTCACCAACAAAAAAAAACATCATTTTGGTCACGAAATATATAATTATTGAAGTAATATGTAAGAAAAATGTGTTAGTATGTTAATCGTAACAAAACGAATGCGAAAAAATCAGCTGTATTTGAAAAATACATATTAGGATTAAATGAAGAAGTACACTATCTGAACGGTTTGCTTTTTTCGTTCAGTCATTCGAAAACGTTTTTTCTTTCAGCATTTGAAGTTTTATCTGAACTTACTTTTGAATTTACTCCCCAAGCCAACAGTTTTGATGGTTTTCCATCGATGAACTAACCTATTCCTGATGGTAACCATCATCTGAATGTAGGAATGATTTATGATGGTAACCATCATAAGAATAGCAATTTGTTTTGAGGGTTTGTTCATGTCACGAATTTCCGTCCTAGAATCTTAAAAATGACGATCATGAACCTCGGTCATCCCAACTTAGGAATTCGGAAATATATTTCGGCAAAAATATTTTTTGTGTGTAAAATATTTTTGCCGTAATGTTTGCCGTAATTTTTGTGTGTAAAATATTTACACACACACAACTGTAACCGTGTGTGTGTGTGTGGAGAGAGAGAAAAAAGGGGGGGAATGGGTGTTACCAGTTCTCTGTCGATGGAGCCCTGATCTGCCCAGTATGCGTGGATGTAGAGTTGAGTTGGCCAACTGGCATTGAAGGGAGATCCCAGAATGGATTTCTTGGTTTCTTGCAGCACGTAAGGCTTCTCGGGATTATGGGGTGTGAAGAGGTTGTAAGTGATGTTCTCGCAGTCCTCGGGTACGTTGGTGGCAACACGCATTGGATAATCATACCAGGGAGGGCCAGTCGAGAAGCACTCCAGATCTTCGATGCATTTCACCTTAAACCGAGCTGCAACGAAACAACACTTTATATGCATCTCTACTCAAGATAAAATGTGATAATAATAAGAAGGAAATAACAACAGGCGATAAAAATAGAACATTTTAAAGAGACTACTGTTCTAGTTCCTTAAATATTTTTCACTTGTGATGCTGCACTGTAACTATAATCGCTCTCCTGATTATCCCGAGTTAACGCGTGTATGAATATTTATTATAACGAGATAATTCGGGCGCAGCAGAATGTGTCTGTACGTTTATCACGTTTTGATTCGACCGGAAGCAAAAGAAGAAAAATACTGGAAGTTTGCCAAGTTTCGTTTGCTAATGTTTGTGGGACTGTATGTGTGCTTTTTTATATTGGATGTTTGCTGATTTGACATAGGTATCAATTCACTGTGTTTTAAGAACTATCCTACAAAGACTTTCCCCTTTAGATAGTAAAACGGACATTAAATGTTTTTTTAAACACAAAAAACTTGATTTTGTTCCTTCTATTTATGAAGGAAATTCGATTTTTGTGAGTTTTTTTTTCTTCAAAAAAATGGGTAACGGTTCATAAAGTATACATTAATTTATTTTTTAAAAAAAATTCCAGAAATGCTTGAATCGCAAATAAATGACTACAATGAGTGAATATAGTTTTAAAGCGCAATTAATTATAACATTCACGATGCATTTTAATGAGTTGTCTATTGCAAAAAGAGATCACTATTTTCATGAAAGATATATTTACTTCCATTAAAGATCTGTTTAAATGGCTTCCATTATGACTCAAGATATTTACTTTAAAATAAAACGATGTTCCTGGAGGAGGCAAAGAGGGTCGTTCCCTTCGCTAATCGAACACATATATATATATCGATTATTGAAGTCTTTCCATCAGGTATAAGAGAATCTATTTCGAATTTCGTAAATAGCAAAGCAAGCGATGCTCAAGGCCAATAGTTTGGTGAACACTTTTTAACTGTAAATACAGTCCCTGGTCAATTTATTAGAGGCACTCTATGTAAAATCTCAGATGATACTATGTGTATATGTTTCGGTGATGGGAATGTAAGGCGTCAAATGAAACAATATGGCAATGAAACATCTTCTTTAATTATAAAAGATAACAAACCATCAAGAAACTTCTCAAACTCCAATTAACAAGTTATTCGTTAAAAAACATTTAAAAGTTGTTATTAAAAGAACAATTAAAGCTTAAACTTTCGATTGTAAACATCTCATACTGTAGGTGGGCGTCACCGAATAGAAACGGAATATCGGTACTAAGTCTCGGAAGCTGCACAACAACCCTTTCGAAGGAACTTGAACTTGAACTAAGGTGTGATTCAGAGTGCCTGTCCGCGAAGCGGAAAATTGACTCTTTCATCGAAGATTGTGCCCGTGGGCACCTGGAATATTGTCTATAAGGGTGTAGGTGTTCCACAGTGGGGCTGTGGATGTCTTGGTGGGCGTGGCTTGGTGGGGTGAGCTCCGCCTCTACGTCTTTTCTGTGAGCAGCCTTTCGAAGGCAAACTGTCATCTCCTTAAGTACTGGACATCAGCCATTTCACTCCGTGCCTTGGCCTCCGGTTGATGCTCCTCCGCCAGTATTCATCCGCGCATGAACTATTCCGGTTCGTCCTCCTACCATCGGTCTGTGATCCAATACTCGATCCTTCTACCTCGACTTTACATGCTATCTCAGCCGTTGCAACCTCTACAGCTTTATTGATTTCAAGTGACTGGAACAAGTTTGCGCTTGTTTACGCTCTTGTGTTAATGGCTTAAATTAGACGACATGTAATATAAATTCGACATTATTTCAGTTTTTTTTTCGTCATTGAACAGCCGATCCACTTTTGGGTTTACGACTAGTAATGTTCAACTCCGTAGCCTTGTCATTTGGAACCAATCCAGAAGACAAGGAAACTTTTGCATCAGTACCCCCAGAGGTGTTGATTTGTTGTGGGAACATGGAGGACTTTGCGACTCGACAGATTTATTATGCATCAGTCACGATTTACTACTCGGGGAGTAATCGGCCGGGGGGGGGGGATCGAACCCATGAACTCTTGGACATGAGTCCAGTGCCCTACCCGCCAGGATATCCCGACCCAAAATTCGACGATTTTATTTTATAACCGTCGTTGTACAGCCGACCCAATTTTATGGCTTTACGACTACTCATGTTCAACTTCTTATACTTGTAATTTTGAACTCAATCCAGAAGACAAGGGAACTCCTGGATCAAGTACTAGGAAGCAATCTGCCTTCAAGGGGGGACTTTTTGACTGAACTAAACCGGATTCACGTTACATGCTGATGAAAAACCTCCCATTGCTAGCTCGACGGCAAGGGGACTCTAACCCCATGATCTGTCTACCACTGAGGATATTTCACGTCAGCACTATGGTCGGTGCAAGCCGAATGCGGAATTCGTATCGACTGGGATTCAAACCCGGTTCGCCTCATTGGAAGTTTGGTAGCCATAGCGAAGCTTTGAAACGTTATAACGGTAAAACTATAAAAGCCAGACTTCGCCACACTCTCCCCCCCCCCTCTCCCTATTTTGCAGAATGCTGAACCCGGTGAGGAAAGGTACGATTATTTAGATTAAGCAGGGATGATTGTGCTATGGAAAAAATCCGAATTTCCGGGTTTTTCGCAAACTGCGATCCAGAAGTTTCCGAAAATTCAAGGTCCAGAAGTTTAAAGAAATCATCGATTGCATTTATGTATAAAAAATTCTTGTAAATTTAATCAAAAATATTCGAACTAGAATATAAGAATTAGAATCTCTTTCGTTGGTTGATATTTTCTCAGGCAGAAGAATCAATGAGATTAGAGATAAAAGTAAATTTATAAATAATTGATCATTTAAATTATGCTGTCATTAGAGTTTCATAATTTGAAAATATCAATGACTTAAATTTATAAAGACTTTTATTTTTTGAAATGCGTCGTGAATGATTTTAATCAAGAAGAATTTTTGCGTTCATCTCACAATCATTCCTGGATTAAGTGAATTTATGGGTAAAATAAGGTTATTTAACTGCGGTCTCAGTTAACGTGCATTTTAAAACATTCGTTTAAGATATTGCACTTTACAGAATGGTCATCTGATCCATAGTTACAAACCTCATTTGATTTTTTTTCTTTTGTTTTGCTGATTGTGCATTTGCTAATGACGATTATTGACACATTTTGGTTTGTATGAATAGGAAAAGAAAACTTGAATAGCGCACAAATAAAGGAGATACGCGTGCCTTGTTTTTGTTTTATTTGTAAGCCTGCTGTTCATTGAGACATTAAATATCGAAACATTCTATTAACTGCTATAGTAGTATAAGAGTGTTACTTTAAATTTACATAATGCTTATTTTCATTCATTGTGTTTTACGTTTACTTTATCCAATTTATTTCAAATTATCCTTAAACAATATGCTTGTTATGAAAATGATATTTGATGTTACTGAATGTTTTTTACACGATTATTAATTTGATACCACAATAAATGATTTCTTACGATTACTGATTACTTGATATTACCATAAATGATTACTTACTATCATTGAAATAATGACTTAAGATTATTCATTTTATAATTCATTTATATATTCATTTTATAATTACCTGAGATGATACATTTGACCTTATTATAACTGATTACTGATGATTATTGACCATCTGATTCTACGATAAATGATTACTTACGATCTTTGGGATCCGGGTAGGTCCAACTTATGCATTCAATAGTCGATAAAGTAACAAGCCAAACAGCAACGATGCTGATGATATGCGCCATTTCGTTTCAACTGAAAAAGAATTATTTCGTGTTCTCTAGTTTTTCTCCCCGCAGCTGTTCTCTGGCGATTACCTCGATGGCCTGACTGATAAGAATCTTGACGTTCTCTTTTTTCTTAATACTTACCTATTCAATATTGAGGAAACTCTTAAATATTCCGTTAAAATGAGAAATCAAGGAGTGAGCATCAGACGGATAAAGGAATTCGAATGATCTTATTTTTTGAAGATTTTCTTTTTGATTATCTTAGAGTAATCATTAACGTTTGAAGAGATTTAATTTTGTTTGCGGAACCATTTATGAAGGAATTTTAATTTTGTTTGATCCACCATTAACCCTTTCGCGCCGATTGTCACAAATACGTGCCATCATAAAACCGTATCAATCAGGGGAAAACTGGTAACCAAAGTAGTTCTTTAGCAGTTTATTTGTGGGCGGGGTTATAATTGTTTGATTTATTTAATTCACAATTACTTTAGTTCAAAATAAAATTATTTAGATATATATATATGATTAAACTAACTATAATTAATAGATAGATTATATATATATGATTAAACTAACTATAATTAAAGTAAAAGCAAAGTAAGTCTGTGAAATTAGCAAAGCCTACATTTAAGCTACCGTTTTTTATTTATTTACATCCTGATTCTGATTTTGCACGAATGCTTTTATGAGTCACCCGTCCCCAAGGGGTTAAAAGGGAAGAACGTAAGAAAGTCTTTTAATAGATGTTACAAAATGCTGATCTGCGAATTTCAGTTAATTTCTCATGAAAACCGATTAACTACATTCCAAAACGTTAAAACGCCTTTTTTATGGATTATTTTTTAAATGCTTTTTTGCCTTTTTTTTCTATTTATACATCATTAATATATATCTTGAAAAGATTTACAACTCGTTTCATAGAACTTTTTAAATATTTTAACGTTATATATGTTACGTTACGTTATATATTAACGATATCTATGCTAATTTATGAGGTAGAGCATATTTTCTCATAAACATATTTGTTCCACGAAGGACTATTAAAATATGTAACTGCAATCTGGAAAGTATGACGTCATGAGACACAAATAATAGTTTAGTCGGGACAGCATTTGAAAGCTCCTTTATGTCAATTTTCTTTTCATACCCTATCTCTGGAGTTATTTAACAAATCAAAACATTTTTGACAGCAATACCAGCTTATCTAAAGATAATTTATTACAAAACATTAGTCAAATAGTTTTAATAATAAGATATACAGATTTTTAAATTATTTCAAGATATGTGTTTTAAATGTCAAAATTTCTGACATTTTGTGACTTAATTCATTGCAAAAAGGGGCCCAAATATTCCCACTTTAGATATGGGCTGCTACACGCACTCATAACTAAGCATGCCGATTAACAAAACAATTTTGGTATTAGGAGTGAGTACACAAACTAAATGAAGGTGAAGTAATATTCTTAATAAACAATGCCTATATAGCATATATAAATAATAAGCAAATACTTACAAAACAACCTATAAATCCAACCACTGTCATTTAAATTTATTATAAATGCTGTAATCATTATATGGAATGCATTCTGTAGTCTACATAGTTGCATAATTATTGTCTAAAATCAACCAGCAAAACATTATTATTTCACACATTGCCTAGGTATACTATAGTATGATGAATGAAAAACTGACCGAGGAAAAACAATCCATATTTCACACTTTGTCAAGACATTCTGTAAAATGACTCCTGAAAAACTTTCAGGCTTTCCTTACAAAGGTTAATGCACTTCTCATATTTCGTACCTTGCCTTAAGAGCATTTAGCATTCTATAAAAATGTTTAGGTGCATAATACAATGACTGGAGTCATTATAGAATAGTTCTCTTATAATAATATTTCGCCTAAAAACTTTCCGGTATTGTATGCAATGACGTGGCGTTTTACGAAATGGTGGCGTTTTATACATTGACAATAGCTGTTATAGTTAATGTATGAAATGCCAAATGATATGCATAGTTGCTTATTAATTGGATAGAAAGCCTAAAATCAACCTGTAAAGTTTGAAATGATAATCATTTCACACATTGCCTAGGCATACCATAGAATGATTCATTACAAACTGGTCAAGGAAAAAAATTATTCCTATTTCACTCGTTGCCGAGACTTCGTACCTTGAATTAAAAGCATTTAATTAAATACTAAGGCATTTATTGTAATAACACAGGTAGAATAATTCTCCTATTATAATATTTGCCAAAAACGTCAGGCATTGTATATACAAATGACCTGATATTTTATGCAATGATCTGACATTTTATATATTGACGATAACATAAAAAACTTATTTACTGAAAAGAAATATTCCTTTTATCATTCATTTTATTGTTTGTTTGGCGATCACCATTCTAACTCAAATACCTTTCAAGGAATAGATTGAATACCGGAATGCATTATGATTGAATCCTCGGAGTAACTCTGTTTTGCTTAAAACTTCATCCCAGTACCTCCAATTGGGAACTCGAACCCCTTCTCCTCTAATTAATACTTGAATCCACGGAATAACTGAGTTTTGATTAAAACTTGAACCCAGTTTCTTCAAATCAGTGCATAAATCCTCGGAGTAACTCTGTTTTGCTTAAAACTTGATCCCAGTACCTCCAATTGGGTACTCGAACCCCTTCTCCTCTAATTAATACTTGAATCTACGGAATTAGATATGATTGGATAGAGATATTAGATAGAATATTAGATAGAGATATGAATTTCATGAGCAACTTTCCCCGAGATAACTCAAAATTGACATTAAGCTGTCCAAACTTTGGATTGTTCTCGTGACCAAACTATTGGGTTTCCCAGATGGCTGCTAACTTTATGTTTTGAGATCAGAAATCCATCCAAAACAGGTGTTCACAGAAAATTCAGAGAAAATGTGTTTTGAGGTCGGATTTCTGAATTTAAAAATATCGTCTGCACTAATATATATCTATCTATCTATATCTATCTATCTATCTATCTATCTATCTATCTATCTATCTATCTATCTATCTATCCAAAGTAGTTGTTGTTGTAGTTCATTTATGTCGCACTAGAGCTGCACAATTGCCGACGGTCTGGGAAACTTCCCTGAGGATGATCCGAAGACATGTCATCACAATTTCGATCCTCTACAGAGGGGATGGCTCCCCCGCTTCGGTAGCCCGACGACCTGCACGCAAAGTCGAGCACTTTACAGTAGAACAGTGTAACGAGGACCCATACCGCACACCCTCGTTCCCTACGCACACGGATCCAAGTGGTCATCCACCCGCACACTGACCGCAGCCAGTGATGCTTGACTTTGGTGATCTGCTGGGAACCGCGTCTTAACGATCAATCCACTGCGGGACTTAAAAAAGTAAGCATAATTAATTTACTTCTAATTATCGTCCCAGTAGAAATTTACATTTATATCACCATAGAAAAATAATTTTATACAATGCGAGTTTGATACTTTTTATTCAAAAACAGATATTATTATTAAGATACTTTTAAATGCAGAAACCAAAATTACTAAATATTTTAATTAAGGTCATTAAGCATTGTGGGTGGGTTGTTGTAGCAGGTGTGACATTTTATTTAAGCATTCCCACAACATCATTTTAAATTGAGCACAAATGTAATCTTAACAACTATTAAACAAAAGTAGATAATTTGAAGGAGAATTTATAAATTGCAACAATAACAATACTCTAATCTAATTTAGATTAATAAATCAAAATTAGCCTCATTTGAGCATGTGGCAGTGCGTACAATTGTTTATTAACTCAGTATAAATTGATAAATTGTTGTTTCCTCCGTAAATATATATTTGTAAATAATGTATGATTAAGAAAATAAGTTTAAAGTTATTCTGTTGATATTTTTAAAAAAACGGCACTTTTTTAGCAGTTAAATATCCCCGTAAATTTGCGTTATTTTATAGAAATTTTTATTTTTTTTTAAAAATGTAATATTAGGGGCAGAATTTTTTTTTTCTCGATTTACTTAAATAAAAAAAAAGGAATATAAAATAAGAATCATTGAAATCTAATATTCAAATAATTATAAAGTCAGCATAAGATTGTAGATTCTGCGTTTGAAATTAAACAAAATTTAACACAATTATTATTTTTTTAAATTAAAAATTTTAAATCACTTAAATACTAAATGTTTCCTATTTGTTAAATATGTATTTTAGGACTTTTAGCGCCGTATTTATTATACATTAGTCTCTTTTTCCGGAGTAGGAATAGCAAAAGAAGATCATGAAATCAGCTGAAAGAAATCGAAGAAAACCCCCTTAAGTATGCAGACTATCTACAAAAAACAGAGAAAGTGACAAAGCGAGGAAGAAAAAGGTAAAACTGAGAAAAAACAATTTCAGAGACAAAATCTGAATGATAGGCAAAGAAAAATATTATTGTTAAGTTTTGATGTTATTACTGTATCATTTGTTAGTTTTAAAAAAAATCCTCTTTCTAAATATTTGCATTACGCCCACAACGAAAACTCTGAATATTTACTACTCAAGCAAGAAAGTAATTTAATTTTTGAAAAAAAAATACTTATTTAAACATAATTGTTTTTTTTTTATAACGGCAGTCATTGAACTTTTTACGTGCTTCGCCTACCTAGGACGATGCCGGAAGTGTTACCCAGTGGGTACCTGTAAACTTAAGTCACGGTGGCGAGCAACATTACCCACAGATACCCGTTTTATAGCCACATTCATACATCACACAATATTGAGAACAACACATGCCCGGAATTCGCAGTCAGGTACCACTGAGCCATCTGGCCGGCTAAACATAATTGTCAAACAAAAGTTCCCAGAATTTTGAGTTTTTGATGAGGCTATTGTGCAGCCTTAGTTCGATGTAAATAAAGTACCTTTCCTGAAAGAAGTTTCGACTAGTAGTAAAAACCAGTTGTTACCAATTTTCTCACGACAAAATATGAGTAGGGGAGAGTTGGATAAAACGGGATACCATTATTGTTTATATTTACTACGGAATATCTGTTCAGGAAAACCATACATTATTTTTTTTGTAGCTACAACATTTATCGAAGTACACA